GGCTGGGAAGAAGGAGGGTGGCTACTGAGGAGTCTCGAGCCAGACACAGAGGAAGCAGAAAATAAACATGCCATACTTTAAAAAAAAAAGGAAAAGAAAAAAAGGAAACACCATGTGGCAGAGCATAGAAAAGAAATATGGGTTAATTTAAAATGTATGAGTTAGCTAGTAACAAACCTGAGCTATTGGACGAGCATTTATAATTAAAATTGAGTCTCTGTGTCAGTTATTTAGGAGTGGTTCCCCAGGACAGGAAAACTCCGCCTACAAGTGCAAGTGTCTCTGGAAGCAAAACAGAATTCAGTTTTACTAGAAGTAAAAGCACTGACAAGGCAGGGGGAGAGCTGCTTAGGAGGAGACTTGATGAGTCCATTTATGATTATTTATTCACAATCTGCATACAACTCTTCTTTTAGCGGTGGTGGTGGCAACAGCTTGTCTGTGTCTTCTCTGGTGGAGGGGTTTGGTGGTGAGACCAGAATGCCCAATTCTCAGAAGGTCAAGTTTTATGTTGGAATTTGCTTCCTGGATGACCTCAACATGTGCTTATTTGCCTCATCCCTTATTTCAGGAGCACAAGAAAGGTTTCCCTCCGAGAGCTGGAGAACTTGGGTAATCCTCGGCCCAGCATTACAGCTTCACACATAGTAACAGAACAGCTCTGATAATTCCTTCCGTGCACAATAGACTCAGTTGTAGGTGAATCATTGGTTCATAAAGCTTATGGAGAAGAGAAGAAAGCAGTCATAGCACTTGCAGAAAAGAGCCTGGATTTGTCAGCATGAAACACAATCCCTTCGAACTGCAGAACGGAGAACGGAGTAGTGGAGAAGTGGTCAACAGGAAGGCACAGACCATAGACCATGGGCTTCTGGGCTATTAGTAGGCATTGGATGGGTCAGCTATCCAAAGGTCCCCACACCGCATGACTTCCCAGGCTTGTCCTCGCTGTGCCTGTGTCCCTATTGACTCTCCAATCTCTGGAGTTCAAAACCACATTTTTTTTCTTCATCATACAGGGGGAAAAAAATGACCCACTTATCTGCATTCAAGGGACGCATTCATATTTCATTCTTGCCCCTAACGGTAGCTCCTTTACCAGTTTCCTTCCATCCCACTTTTCCATGTCAGGCTTCACTGCTGCTGGAATCAGCCTGTAATTTTCATTCTGTAGCCTCTTCCCCTTTGGGTGATTACCACTCTCCCCATGTAATTACCAGCCTCCCTAAATAGAATTTTAATGACCGTAAGACATTTCATTGTGTGTCTGGGATTGTTGTATTTAATCATTTGCTATTTTTTGAACCTCCAGAGGTTTCCAGGTTGTCACTAGGGGCTGATCACTTATCAATGACTCATTTTCTGTGGAAACTTACTTCACATCTCTGATAGCATCAGGAGGAAATAATCTGGGATGCAGAAATGCTGCAACAAAGGTTGGGACTCTTCTTGTCTTGGGCTCTTCAAAGAGTGTCAACGCTGTAGTCTTGTAGGTAAATGTCAGGCCTGTTGGGAATGTTGTACTTGCAGAAACATGAATGTGCACACGTTCAGCCTTTGCAGAAATGCCTGTGCACACGTATAGCATCTTCTATGAGTCATTGCTAATATTGGGAAGATCTGACCTTTGTAACTAGGGAAACAACCCTTGAAGTCCCCCAGGTTGGTGTCAGAGGAGTCCAAGGAGGCTTAAATGGCTGCCACTAACCGACGGCTTCTGATTGAGACACCAGACTAAAGCCTAATCTTAGCTTCTCTGTGAAATCAGACAAAGCTGTGAGCTGAAAGTATGATGTGACCCAGGCCACTTCTTCCCCTTAGACACAGCTCCACATCCCTTTTCTGGCTTTCCTGGTCCTCAAACACCTCTCAGGGGCACGAGAGGACATGTGAAACGTGAGAGTCAACAGCTGAAGGGCTTATGCCTTATACAAGCTTTCATGTGTGAAAATCAGTCTGCATTCAGAGATGTGCACACTGTACACGGTACAGATAGGCAACTTGGTGAACAATATTCCATGGAGCATCTTGAGTACCAACTCCCAGACCAGCAAATCAAACAGAGACCAGGGATTCAGAAGGCTTTCTGCTGCGCTTGCTAGCCTAGTTCTCTGGATGCTGTTAAAAAGAGGGACGGTCCCGATGCTTGTGTTTATGGTTTCATGAGGATGATGCTCCAGAACAATGTAGCTTAGTGAGGGTATGTATCATCTTATTTTCAACTCCCTTAGCTCTAAAATATGTGCTTCACATTCATCCATTGTCCTGTAACATTTTCAATATATGTTATTATACTATTTTTAAAAGTTAAGCTTCATTAGAACACAGCCATGGCTCCTCCCCTCCTCTTCTCCTGAGAAGTAACCTATTATCCCCATGCTTCTCAAGTTGAACTGGCTGAGTTGGTTGCTTTGAGGGGATTACTCAGAGATCAAATCCCATGTCCTCATATGACCTCTCTGATGCTTCCTGGGGCTGCAGGACTACAGGAACAGCAGTGGTGGCGACACCCATGGGGGCAGCAGCCAAAAGTGCAGATGGACCAGTCAAGGCCCTGACCTTTTCAGCAAGTGGGAGGGTGTCCTCAGTCTCCACAGACAGACAGGACTTGCTTGTACCCATTGATGCTACAGCGTGGCACAATAGTTGGGTGATCAATCTGCAGAGACACACCGGCAGCATTTCAGACGTCCTCCAAGAATCCAGAGTTCGGAGTCTGTTCTGTCGGATCATGCACTTCCAGGCTGTAAATGCTGCCATCGGCTGGATGATCAGCCCAGAGAAGAAACTCGGTACGTGTGACAGCATGGCTTCTCGGGCTCTCGCTTTGTCTCTGTCTTTACCAGCTCACAGCACTCAGAATTTCAGCGGTGCCCCTGGAGATTTTAGAGGTGAGGCCTAAAGGCCTGGAAGAAAGAGGTCTGCTCCCACCCCAGACCAGTGTTCTTGCTGGCACAATGACCTCACACGGGGTGATGGCACCAGCATGGACAGAAGCCTGCACTTTACAGCCCAATAGTGTGTCCCTGATCTCGGTGAGGTCCTCATTGGTGAACACAAAGCCCACATTCCCCTCCCTATGAGGCAGCAGTTCCTCCACAGCTGGGAAGTTTACAGATGCCCCCATAGCTGTGCACATCCTGGGCTTCTTCCTCATCAGTGCCATAATCTTTCTTCCCAGAGACATGCTGGTCTACTGATCTGCTTGGAGTTCACATCGTTTGCTCCCACAGTGAAGCATTTTGGGTAATCATCTCAAAGAGCTTAAGGATGTAGGTAGACCTCCAGGTCACTCTGTTTTCCCTGGGCATCACAGCAGTGTCTTAGGGATTGTCACATAGGATTTAAAGACAATGTCACTCTAACAAAGATGCCTACCGAGAAATCTTTTATATTTTTTCTATGGCAGTTTCCCTGGTTTTTTGAGACAGGGCTTCTCTGTAGTTTTGGTGCCTGTCCTGGAACTAGCTCTTGTAGACCAGGCTGGCCTTGAACTCACGGAGATCTGCCTGCCTCTGCCTCCTGAGTGCTGGGATTAAAGATTTGTGCCACCATCGCCCAGCCACATCTGATGTCTTAATCAAGACCAAGAAACTCAGGGAGGAAAGCCATCTGTGCTGATCACAGACTTCTTTCCTTCCCATTGTCTCCTGAACAATGCAGCAGGAAGAGCTCCCACAGCGTTTGCATTGCACTGGGTATCCTAAGCCATCCAGAGGTGACTCAGAGCCTACAGGTGGAGGTAGGCGGCTATATGCAAACCCTATACCATTTTATATGAGGGATCTGCATCCTCCAGTGCAGACATCTGCTGGGGATCCCAGAGCCAGTCCCCATGTGACAAATGAACACGCTCTTGGCCTTTGTGTCAGAGTTTGCTGACCGGGGCACTCCACAGATGATGGGCAGTTGAGTTGCTTTCCAGTTTGAAGGTGTCCCCAGCAATCCCTGTAGCAACTGTCAATACCTTTCTCTGTTACAGTTGCTCAAGACTTTCCTGCGGTACACTCAAGACAGAGTGATTCACAAGTCCAAAGCAATCGAACCCGTTTACATTCTCCATGTTTGAGGGCTTTTGAAGCTGCACATCGTCCTAGCGCCCCCGTGTGGCCAGACAGGAATAGTTTTGTGAAGTGTTGAGAAATAGAATCTCACTTTCATTTACTCTCTACTAAATAATGGCGTGAACATTGAACATTTTGTGCATTTGTAAGCTGGTTTTTGCAGGCGAGATTGGGAGGGGGAACTCTTGCTGTTTCTTTTCCTGTGAGTTTCATGTTATTTGCAGAGTCTTTGTTTGGCTATTCGTCCTGTGAACATTTGCCAGAATTCAAGTGGAGCCATGTACTCTAATAAAACTCTAATAAAAAATGCCCAAAGAAACAACCTTGGAAAGCTAGAATCTCTCACACATACACCTGTCAGTAAGAACAATGACAAGTGACATGACCAGGGGCGTGCAGAGACCACCACAGCCTGACAGAGAAAATGCTTCTGCAAGGTCAGATGCCCAGCGGTTGCCTGTTTGGGGGAACTGGCACTACCTGTGAGTGACCCATGCCACTGAGGGTGACTGCTGTATGTGACCTTTTACAAGTCCCCTTTGTCTTCCACTGCTCTGGGAATATGTCCTCCTGAGTTTCCCCTGCATGTGCCTTCTGGCTCAGCTCAGTCTTCGGAGACTACCCGCTTGTTATTTAGGTTGGCAGCCTTTCTACGCTTGATTTATAGGACTCCTTTCCAATATCCTTCTCAGCAATGTTCCGTCAGGACCTCTCCCACCTGTCACTACCCACCACACTTTGCCGTTGATCCTTTTCACTTAGCAGGTTTGGATTTTAATCAAATCAACTCTTTCCCCTGTGCTTTGTGCCTTTTAAATTTTTAAAATTGAAAATAGATTTCTTTCATACAATATATTCTGATTATAGTTTTCCCTCCTCCGACTTCTCCCACTTTTTTTCATTCTAAAAAAAAAAAAAAAAAAACCTTTTCCGTTTAAAAATACGAAATGCTTCATGAATTTGCGTGTCATTCTTGCCCAGGGCCCGTGTTCATCTTCTCTGTATTGTTCCAGTTTTACTGTATGTGCTGCTGAAGCAAACACTTTTTCCTCCTCTGATCGGAATAATCAAAAAGTACTTTCTTATCTGGACATTAAAAAGAATTTTCCTCCAATGTCTTCAAGTCATTCTCTGCTGGATTCTAGTGACAGCATGCTCATTCCTTGGGCAGTTTTGTGAGGTGAAGCTTTATGTTCTCTGCTGAGGTCAGGAACTGAGGGAGTCAATGAGTTCCTCGGGGTTCATAGTTGAGAATGACAATATGGGGGAGAGATCATGTCCACAGTAGAGATCCATGTCTATAGTAGAGATCTGTGTCCACAGTAGAGATCCGTGTTCACAGTAGAGATCCGTGTCCACAGTAGAGATCCATATCTATAGTAGAGATCTGTGTTCACAGTAGAGATCCGTGTTCACAGTAGACATCCACGTCCACAGTAGAGATCCGTGTCCACAGTAGAGAGAGAGCCATGTCCACAGTAGCCCAGAACTTGCCTGGGATCCTCCCATGGTCACAGGTTTACTTCCTTCTTTTTGGACAGGTTGGACAGGAATGCTCAGTTCACTTCCAGCAGAAGGCAACTTTCTCAGAGAAGAAAGTGGGTTCTGGTCACTTGCCAGGACAGAGTATGACTTCCTACCTGTGTGTGGGTTCTGGTCACTTGTTAGGGCAGGGTATGACTTCCTACCTGTGTCTTCATGGATCATGTAGTTAGGCTGGGAACCACTCCGGGTTCATGGCCTCCCATTACCAGAGTACTAGGCCTTGTCAGCTTCCTGCCCATATGGCAGGTGAAGTCTCCTCTAGGGCAGGCAGTGTGCTCCCTGTTAGCTCATGGCAGAGCAGCAAAGGTGGCCCCTCTAAAAAGGCCTTTTTGTTTCATTTTGCTTTTTTTACAAGTTTGAGGTCTGCCTGTTGGCCTGGTGTCCCTGCCCTGGAAAGCTCCTGAAGATAATTCACTCTAGGCTGGTTCTCCATAGCTCTGCCAGGACGTAAAAGTGGCCGTTTTGAGGTACAGATACATCTTACTTCGACAACAAAGGGTTATGACTTGCAATGAAAATCACATCCTCAAGTGGTCAGCCCACTAATGAATTATTTTTGGTCACAGTACCTAAATCCAACATTTCCTCTAGTAGGCTTATATCCAAGCCTTTCCCTGCAAAGGCAACCTCCCCTTGTGCCCACTTGGATGCTTCACATCATAAAGAAAGCCACTGCTTGACCTTCTAGGTCTCAGCTCACCAAATTCCCACAAATTGTACTTGAACTCTCCTGACAGGCGAAGATATCCTAAGGTGACATTTTGTGTCCCCTGCATCCCCAGAGCTACCAGACCACTGGAACTGAAGAAATCAGAATTTCTCAGGCATCTTACAATGGGGAAGGAAAAAGATGGGCCGTGCTGCAGGGCAGATAGGGAGCTTGTCCCCCAAGAAAGATTCCACGCAGATATCACATCTTGTCAGAGCAACTTGCAGGAGAGGCAGGGGCTGATACAAGGATGGATCAGTCACCAGTGGGACCACATCTTGACCAGGACTGCTTAGCTACACATACTCTCAACCCGTACTTAGACCTAAATCTCATGCCAGGACCCCGAAAGACAAATTGGGACTCAGCAAACCTCTCTGTGGTCACTTGGATAAATTTTCTTTCTCTACTTTTGACTATTTGGTCTTTTTAACTGGCCAATTGTAGGAAGGCAGCTAAGCCTAATTATCAGGGATCCAAGGGATCGCCCTAACCATAACTATCCCAGGGAAAATTACACATTTGGGGTGTCACCCACCCACAACAAGCTGACCCCAGGCAGGGAGACAAGGTCGAATGGTTGGAACAGCAGCTGCCGTCAGTTTATTGCAGGGATCACCCGCCCCAGTCACCATTAGCTGCCTTTTGTCTTCATTTATTGAGCAGACATGAATGTCTGGACTCCCCCAGAGTGTCCCCAGTTGGTGCACCTTGGAGTTCTGAGCCATCCAGGTTCGGTTGGATAGCTTGGGCTACTCCATCATCTACGACAGGCCTTGTCAATTTGCGAGAGATTTTAGAATTTAGATTTCTACTGGCTATCGAAGCATCTGAGTATGACAAGGAAAGCTGAAATGTGTTTGTCTTTGGGATTTTTCTGAGCGGCTGGGTTCTGTTGAGCCGTTTGGGATGCAGAGACACAGAAGTGTTCAAAGAACTCAACCGTGATTTGTGTAGCCATGGAGAACAGTGAGTGCTCATTTTCTCAGCGTCTCCTCGGGAGACTTCTAAGTGACCAGTCTTTTGTAGCCTCATGGTGATTTATCTAAAAGTACACTTTGCATTAAATATAATTACTTCTTGTGTCATTTTGTGTCTAAAGCAGCATGGGAACAAAGTTAATCTGTCCTTGCAGGGGAAAATTCTCCTTATAGGATTTGCAAGGTGAGATAGCTCCTGAAAATCCTGTAATGGGATTTTTTTTCAGGGATGTTATCAATATGCAAGTGAGGAAGGCAGGACTGGTGTCCAGGCTGTTACGCACATGGCATGGTGGCTGCGTGTGTGCAGTCCAAGGTCTTTATGTCGCATATTCTTTTCTTGGTGGGAATTCAAAAGATGCAATCTCTGTAAACCTCCAGAACCAGGGCATGGTGGAACTGTGTACTGTAGTAAAATGGCAAGGATGGATAGTTCATGTTTTTCACTTAAAGGGTGATTAAATCGTTAAAATGCTCAGAGAACTTCTAAACTGATTTTTGGTAGGTAGATTTAAAACATCTCATATGATCTAGGTATTTTTGTGTGGTTTCTAGGCTGTGCACTTCATATAAAATACACATATATTTCTTGACATTAAGAAGGGCTAATTTCATTATTAGACAGTAAAGTTGTGCTAAAATTAATTCTAATGCTAAGATAGTGTGTTGCTAAGAGACAATACATTTTGTTATAAACAAGATTGGATACATATACAAGATTGGATAATTTAATATCTGAGTTGGTATATGTATACCTTGTATAGTTATCCAGATTATGTTTTATTAAGCTATTTATGTTTTTGTCTGATTTTTGCTACCTAAAAAAATGTTTCTTAGCAAAGTTCTGGTTTATTTCCAAACCTATTTGTGTTAAGGCCTTTCCAATGACCACTTTATAATCAGCTGTTTTCACATGATTTTCCTGTAGGTATGTGTGTATGACTGCATATATATGATCAGTAATTATGCACAGATGTATATCCAAACTTTATACACATGTAAAAGCTTTCAGAGTTAGCTCAGATGTCAAGAGCACTAACTGCCCTTTCAGAGGACCCAGATTCAGTTCCCAGCACCCATATGGTACCCCATATCCATCTGTAACTCCAGTTCCAGGGCATCAGATGCCCTCTTCTGGCCTCTTCAGGACCTACATACATGTGGTATGTGTACATACAAGTAGGCAAAACACTCATACAAATTTTTTAAGCTTACAGTTAAAATGTATATTTTTAATACATGTAAAGTGACCAATAAACACTCCTGTCTATACAGTATACATTATATCTGGATTTTAAATGTATAAAATGGTCAGTGAAATTTTCTGCCATTTCTAGTCATTGCCATTCAGATAAAACAAACAAACAAACAAACAATATAACCCAACATTTAGATAGTTCTGCTAGTTAAGACCTGACTGAAAGGTCTCAGATGTGGGGCTCAAGGGTAAACTGAGGCAGATTATTGGGGGTAAGAAATCTAATAGAAGAGTTATTAATGCTATGGACAGAGAGACAGACAACAGCAGGGCAAAGACTCTGAGGAGAGTTCAGGTCTCAGAGTCAGAAATAGACAGTGTGGTGGGACCCTCAAGAGCATCAGGCCCATGGAGGGGGTCCTTCTTGTAGACCCAGGAGGAAGAGGGGACATTTCACAGTGGGAGCCTACAGCCAGGGTCTCTGACCCCTAGACAGAAGGGAGGATGTGAAGGGGGGGTGACAAATGGCCATTCAATCCTGGCACGTGAAGTCTGTCAGCTAGATCTCCACAGACAGCGTCTCGGCAGGAGGCCTGCGGGTTTCTGTGTGGGAAGTGGCTGCTGCAGGTACTGCGGCCCCAGCAGCAATCTGCTCTATTTTCACATCCCACCTGGGCGCTGACTGCCGTGACTGAATTAATACTTTGCTATTGAATGTGCGGTGTGCCCTTGAACACCAGAAAACGAGACTGTCTTTGTACTGTTTTTCCCCAAACTCAAAAGAGTCTTAAGATTCCATTTATGTCAGTGCTGTGTTCCTCTCATCTTACCCGGGCCAAGACTAACTAACTCTTGCTTCAGATATAAAACCTCATCATTACTGTGGAAAGCACTCCTGCGTGGTTCTGCGGAGTGATGTTAGCTGTTGCCAGTCCTTTTGTGTGTAAATACAGTCATGTCCTTCATGGAGCGCATAAGCCTTCAAAGTTCAGGGGAGTGCTTTATCAAGCTAATTTCCTCCCAGCTAACACTGTCAGTGTGCTAAGCCCAGCCCACAGAGGTGTTCCTATCCTCCTAATCCCACTATGACGATTCTCTTTCGTCAGCCAGACTCTTCCTAACCTTACACACACCCAGCTGTTCCTCCTTATGGTTAAAAAGAGCTGGACATTCCTCACGCAAGTGTTGTGAGGCCCTGCTGATCAGAGGTTGGAGGCTAGCATGACCTGGCAGCTTTCTCCAAGCAACATGAAGGACTTCCTCCCCAGTGATGCTTCCTGCCCTCTACCTGCTCTTATTAGGAGGAAGTCTTTAGGCCTGGACACCTGACTTATCTCAAGGATGACCCTGCAGACATTCTTCCCCTGTGGGCTACATGGTAATTAAATAGCGTGTTCTAGCTATTTTCATAGGGCTGTGCTGCCCCTAATCCAGCTTTATGAGAGGAGTGTGCTGCTTAATGCAAATTAGGGTTTGACCCCAGGTTTCTCAATCATATCCACAGTTGTCTTAACCCTATTTCTCACTTGTGTTGCCTACCCCCTGATGAACCAGCAGCCAAAGATCCCGAGGAAGGAGAACCATCGCCAGGGAAAGCATCTGTAAACAAGT